GGAAAGAGAAGAGGACTCCATGCTAGGCTAAAAGCTCACACTACCCAACTGCCAAAACCTAGCTAACGTACAGTCTCTGGAAAACTAATTGGACGAGCTAAGGGCTAGGATTACAGCACAACGGGAAATCAGAGAATGCTGAGCTCTAATTCTCACCAAGACATGGCTTTCTGACAAAGTCCCAGATTCCGCGATTCAGCTACAGACCCACTCTGTACATCAGGGAGACCGCACTGCTGCTTTGGAGAAGGTAAAAGGAGGCGGTGTGTGTGTTTATCATTAACTCGTGGTGTGGAGATGTACAGACTATTTATATGCACTGTTTGCCAGACGTAGAGTTTTTATTGCTGAAATGCTGGCCCTATTATCTAGCAAGAGAGCATAGTGCTGTGTTTCTGGCTGCTGTGCATGTTAGCCCAAGAGCTAATCCCTCTGCGGCTTTCAGCAAACTCTATGATGTGATGAGCACGCTAGAGACAGTGCACCCCGATGCTGTATTTATTGCTACAAGCGACTTTAATCAGTGCAATCTATGGACTCTACTTCCCAAATATTACCAACATGTGAACATTCCCACCCAGGGCAAGAACACTCTAGATCAGGGGTGCCCAATACGTCAATCGCAATCGACCGGTTGATCGCAAAGGTAGTGCTGGTAGATCGCGTGCCATTCAAAAATAAATCAGATGCATCCGACGTAAAACACATGCCAAATGGAATGGTCAGTGTGACGATTTGCTGTGCTGACCCCTAAGAGGAAAAGCAGAAAGTGACAATCATTCATATATAGCCTATCATCCACCCTCCTTATGGCATTTGCTACTTGATTGACATGCAGGGCAGCCAGTCTGAGATCTTGTCTTTTCTGACACATGACTCACTAAGCATGCACAGTCAACCGCACAAGCTACTGCAATACTCCAGTGAGCAAACTACCTTGTCAGCTTTCGAATTAATTTCCACTAAAGGGTATAAAATGAGTGGGGGAGCCGAATCAAGTAAGAAACCGAAAACATATCGAAAACATTCCATTCAAAATGGGAGGAGGACTTTTTTTAGCAACATTATAGTTGAAGTGCGTTTGCTTGATCTACCAATCTACCATCACTATTACGAAGAAGGGAAATGTGGAGCGGCACTTTCAGACTGTTCATAAAAACTATGACGCTCATTCATACATATATTTGTGTGTGTGGTTGTGTGTGTGTGCGTGCGCGTGTAGTATTTTTAGTGTAGGTCGATCATTTTGACTTGGTCATTTGAAAAGTAGATTGCAAGGCAAAAAAGTGTGGGCACCCCTGCTCTAGATCATGTTTACAGTAACATACGTGGTGCATATAGGGCCACACCCCGCCCCCACCTTGGACGCTCAGACCACATTTCTTTGTTCCTGTATCCAGCTTACAGACAAAAACTGAAACAAACAAACCCTGTCACCAAACAAATTAAACTCTGGACCCCAGAGACTGAAGGCACCCTGCAGGACTGTTTTGCCCAGACACACTGGGATGTGTTTAAAGCTGCAGCCACCTCAGAGGACTTTTCTGTCAGCATACAGGACTATGCTGAGTATGTGACCGAATACATTAGTACCTGTATCAACAACACTGTGCCCACCATACAAGTCAGGAGGTTCCCTAACCAGAAGCCCTGGATAAACAGTCAGGTACGCCACATGCTGCGTACTCGCTCTCATGCATTCAGATCAGGCGATGAGACAGAGTACAAAGCTGTGAAGTACAGACTGAGGAAAGCCATCACAGCGGCCAAGAGGCAGTACAGAGAAAAGCTGAATGGCTTATATTCTACTGCTGACTTCGGATGGATGTGGCAAGGCCTGCAGCACATCACAGACTACAGGACCACCACCAGCATCACCAGCTCCACAGACAGCCTGCCGAATGACCTCAACACCTTCTACACCTGCTTTGAGACCTCCAGCCACAGAACAGAAAGGAGGCACACACACACACCGAGACCACTGCATTCTTGTATTGTATTCTTGTATTTTTATTGTGCTTCTTTCACTTGCTGCTTTAAAGTGCTTTAGGTTTGTGTTACTGCCTATTTAGATGTGTTATTGCTCATCTACTTTATATTTCACTTGTATTGTGTGGCATTCATGTGGACAGCAAAGTAAGAATTCATTGTACAAGGAAACACGTTTCCTAACTGTGCATATGACAAATAAACACTTTGAACCTCGAACCTATTGGCAGACAAGAATGTTGATGTTTAAAGCTCCTCTACCTCATGTCTTTTCAGTCCAGTGAGACTCAAAACAAACTGGCACCATCAACCGCTTTCTGCCCCTCCCATCAAGTCCTGCTTCCTGAAGCTATGTAGTGAACTATGGTTGCGTGGTTGGGACAAACTGTACAAAATGCAGCCTCCACCCTTAATTTAGCGTTAGCTGGCTAACAGTAAATGTGTCTGTCCAGTAGGATGCTCTGGTTACTGCTGACGTTACACAAAGCTCCAGTTCCTCCCAAATTAAAATCATATTAATTCAACACAAAGGTAAAATCCTGACCATGCTAGGTGGCTAATGTTACCAAAACAAACAGGTTAGCTTTAGATGCTAACACATCCAGAAGGAAGAACACCACATCTGGATCCAGTCTGAGTCCTCTGGCTGCTTTTAACCCTCTCTATGTCAACCAGTCAAACCCATGTTAACCCTGGTTATTGCTCTTTCTTTGTCCCACTCTGTCTGTGCAAAAAATGCCACCTCTTCACTCGGGCAGCCGCTGGTTCAGACTTTTAGCCTCCCAGAGCTCCTCCATGGCTGTTTGACATGACTACTGGCTGGAAAAACCCTTCTTCTAACCTTGGCTAGGTGGCAGGCGGGGCTGATTTACAGACTGTACTTTGACAACACAGGGTGGAGAAGCTGGAATAACAACAGGAGGCTGTAGGCAGGAGAGGGTCATGGAGGGGGGGTGTAGCTGGAAGACACCATGTCCTGTCCCACTGTCACTGGGGTTATCAGACACTGGGGGAAACCTCAGGGACAGATTCAAAGAAAATTATCACTCCACTATGCTACAGTTAAAGTTAGAGAAAGATCCCGTTTAGTGTTCAGATCTATGACAGGACTCCGAATACTACAGATATGATACACACTCATCCACCTTCACACATTAACAGCTTAAAACAGGGAAACAGTGCCACGTTCACCACTGCAAAACTCTTAGACCACTTTCACACTGCAGGCTGAAGTGACTCAAATCCGATCTTTTTGCCCAAATGCGACCCATATCCGATTTCCTTATGACAGTGTGAACAGCACAAATCCAATTTTTTCAAATCCGACCCAGGCCACTTTCATATGTGGTCCTAAATCAGATACGTATCCGATGTTTTGCAATGCGACTTCAGTCTGAACGGCCAGGTCGCATTTCATGCGATTTTTATGTCACTGAAATGCGACAGACGTCACAATTCTGCGCTGGAGGAGGCGAAGGGTAATAAAAAAATGGCAGACAACGGTGATTCAGGTGGTGATAACATTTCCCTTCTCACTCGGAAATTATTAATGAATTCTGTGTCCGTGAAGCCCCTCACGGAATCCCACCAGTCCTGGCTCCGACTCCGCACCCACACATTCCTCTGTACAGAGGTAGCAGCCACTGCTCCACAAAAGGCCATAAGCAATATTTGTGCTCTCCTTCTTCTTGATATTCGTCTTATTATTATGTTTTTATTTCGATTGCAAATTGTCAGGTACATCGCTACGCACATGCTATCATGAGCCACATCCATTTTTATTTCCGCAAACACAGTACGCTGCGTCTAACGTCACGTCCTCTTCTGCACATGCGGGTCACTTCAGGACCGTATACCGTTCACACATGAGACAGATGGCAGTCGCATTTAAATGACAGTGTGAACAACGCAAAAAAATCGGATTTGAGCATTAAGACCTGCAGTGTGAACGTAGACTAAGTGCACAGTGACCTGTAACACCGTCTACAAAACTAATGTTGCTACTGTAGCAGGAATATAAAATGTTTTAATGCAAGGTGTGTCTTTGTCAGGTGCCAATGATCAGTGGGCAGGGCTTGGCTCATACAGGAGGAACTCTGGATAAATTGGAATCAATTCCAGGATTCAATATCCACCAGTCGCCAAAACAGGTGCAGCAAAACTTTGATATGTGAACTATTTCATTTACAACAAACTACATATTACTTTATTGTACAACCTGCTACTATACCTGAGTTTCCAATATCGGAGTTTGTAATTTTTTAAACCCCTTTTTCATTTATCAAATGAAAGTTCTCAAATGGATAAACCCAGGATGGGATTTAGTCGCTGGGTCCATTTTGGATCGGATTCCAAGTTGGTAAAGTACCAACAGTCAAATTTTTCCCTTCATCTCGTTCCGATGATGAACACAACAACAAACATGGCCGACTGGCTTAAACATTTCAAAGTTAGCGAAACAACTGTAGAATGTGATATTTGTGGAGGAAGATCAAGTCCTGCATTTAAATGTGCTATGGGTCCAACACGTTAAATCAGACACATGCAGTAGGTATCACCTCTGAACTTATGTACTACAGTATGTAATATACATGAATGTACTGACTGCAGATTGTGGAGATCCTGGGCTCAGTGGGCTGTTGCATTGTGGGACAGACCGAGAAGTTGGTTCCTGCAGATCGAGTCCTGTACGCTCTGCGGGACGCCACCAGCACTGTGGACAGCATACCACTCATTACTGGTACTGAACCGGTGCCACCAACACCGCCCAGACATATTAACAGCAGGTCTGCTCAGTTAAACATGACTTTAAATGTTTTTCCAGGCTCTATTATCTCAAAGAAAGGTGCCGAGTCTCTGGCTGCGCTGGTGCTGGATGTGAAGTTCGGACGAGCTGCTCTGTACAAGGACCCGGAGGGCGCTAAAGCGCTAGCACAGTCGATGGTACGTTCGTCACCAGGACCTCCCTAACACACAGCGAGCCCTGTTGGACTACAAACTTAAAAATATTATTTTTATTTACATGTATTAATATTTGTTGAATTCTGTACAACAACAGATGAAGTATGTGCGACTTAGTTATCGATCTACTAAAATAACATAAATGTTAGAAAGCTGGGATGCTTAACATCTGTCGTGTATAGAATTAATTCACAGGGAGAATCACTGCAGTGCCAATCATCATTTATTGAATAATATATAGTAATGTGAATTCCAGAGGGAGAGAAACAGAATCACCTGGAGTTATGGATCTCTGCAGAGTTTGGGGTCTTTGTCTGTCTTCTCAGGTCCCCCCAAATGCACCCACACGCTCGTCAAGTCTGAGTCTATCTGAGTCTGTCTAATCAGCCTTGCAGCTGATTATATAGCCCTTTCTACTTCTTGAACCTCCTGCATCATGTCATTCTGGACATCTAGCGGGCCCCCTCCCGTCTCACTCCGGTTCTGGGAAGCCCCTAGAATTACTGGAAAACAGGACGCTGGACCCCATGTTTATGCAGAGGATCCTCACAGAAGTTTATCTCTGACCATACTTAGCCCTGTGGTGGTTAGCAGTAAATCAGACTCCAGACAAAATATGTAATCAAACAGCATGTAGCTAACATTTGGTATCAGCTTGTGTGTGTCTGTGTGTCTGTGTGTGTGCTGAGTGGTCATTAAGTTCATGTGAGTTGAGTTTATGTAAGTAATCAAAATATTCCCTGTTTACTTAGAATGTAGCTAACACTGGC